TATTTTTTTTTCATTTGGCCTTTGCTCTTTTTTTTTAGTCAATCTTTTCCCCTTCGGTGAACGTCTTCGCATATTACTTGAAAAAATATAGTCAATAAAAAAAATATATATATATTGATTATATTTTGAAGTATGTCACTGCCAAGATCATCGCGAAGACGTTCTTCCGTTGCGGATGGAGACGAAAACATTACAAAATTACTGCTGGCAGCAAAAACTCAAAATATAATTTCTAAACGTCGTGGATCGGCTGTTTCTATAGATTCTATTCCACCTAATTCTGTCATGATTGATGCTACTATCACTACTACGAAAACCATCCCCTCCTCCAGAGATAAAATGTTATCTTCAAATTCATCTGATTTATCTTCAAAAACGCATTATGCATCTCCCAGTCAATTTTCTGACATTGAGGACGATAAATTTTCCAAAATCAATAAGAAAGATTTGTTGCCTCGTCGAACTCTGTCACAGCATGTTCAACAACAACAATGTCTACATTCGAGATCTTTATCTCAACCGATTCCTTCGTTATCACAGCAGCGACCTTTAATTCCTTCAGCCAATTATGATAATCATAATCAATATAAATTACGAACTGAATTATCTTCGAAAAAGTTATGTCGGTTTTTTGGTGATAAACCTCCCATCGATATCTGTGTTAAAGAAATCGAGAGAGAGGGACTTAAAGCTATGTTACATTCCAAGATTCCTTTATGTTATTTCTTGTATTCGTTGCTCGAAGAATATTCTTGCGAAAATTTGTTCTTCTTTCTCGAAGTAGAACAATTTGAATCATTTGAATACTCTAATTTAGCTCAGCAATATACGATAGCTCAACACATATTTGATACTTATTTAACAAGAAACTCTCAATTTGAAGTAAATATTGACGACAAAGTTAGAAAAAGTGTTATATCATTTATTAAAAGTCAACGTGATCTAAGGCGTTGCTTTGATGGCGCTAAGAGGGCTGTATTTGTACTATTAGAATCTAGTTTTGCTAGATTCATTCGAAGCAATACTGCTGATCTTATGAAAAAGGAAATAGGTAAATATACACTAAATAACACTAAATAATATAGTATAATAATAGTCTATACGTACGTACTTGTTCTTGAATATAATTCATAAAAAATTTGTTTTGTAGGCGAAACAACTACTCATTATTCTATAAAAGCACGTGATTCCGCAATATCTTTGCTTTTTAGTTTTTTCGATCGTCAATATTCTTCGTCACAGCCATCGTTGGTTGCTCTGAATTATAAAAATAAATCATTCATTCATTACAATCCTCCTTACAACCCTTACTCGACTCCTCCCCC